AGGCGCAATGAGGTCACGTAAGGAAAGTCTCCGCTTCGTTAATCAATGACATCTCTTGAGTCTTGAGTCTAGGTAAGTAGCAAAAAATGCTTTGCCGAGAATTATCTTGTTCAGGTCGTCCCAAAAGACAGGAAGCCACTGGCCAACTCCCTAGGCAAAGGCATCGAGAAAGCCCCTTCTACAAAGAATAGGGGTATTCTGCGACAGACTTGGCCTGCGCAGCAAGGACATTGGATTGCGCAGCAGTTTGAGGGTTGCTCAGCCCCCGCATGTTCTGCCCAGTTAGAAGCCCCTTCAAGTTTCTAATGTTGATTGAACAAGGGAGTACTGTTTCCTGCTAGTCAGATTTAGGAAAGTCTTAGAACATACGAAGCCGTACAACTGTAATTCCATGATCCTAAGGAATGACCTCAAATTCTAGGCCCTCGTAATAGTATCTTTCTCAGAGTTTCAATTATGGAACCTAAGCGCCGGAGCTCGGCCTACGAGCGGATGCCGCAGGTGGACCCGAAGCATTGCCGGAACCGCGGGGCTGCCGGGGCCCATCGGTTACACGTAGGTTCACAGACTTTCCCAAAAAGGAACTCGCCGTGATGTGTAAGTGATGTATAAGAGATAAAAGAGCAAAGGAGGGGGCATGGCTTTCAGCATTCAGCCCAACCTATGGACCTCATGAAAGCACAGCTTGTATGTGATTACTGATGTGGTGCGCCGCACTCTAGCGGCGTACTCTGGCTGGTCGAGAGGAGGTAAGACTTGCCTCGGGCTTCGTCGGCTAGGAAGCTTGGAGCTATTCTTTTTCTTCTGCTGGTAAGCCTTCAAGATGAATCTTGTTACTTCCATCAGTTTGGGGCGGATGAACTAGCTTGAGTTGTCCTTCCACGCACCCAGATCCATTTGGCATATACTATCCCTCAGACATCTCTTACAGTCAGAAAAATACAGAGTTCTGGCCTAGCGCGATGCTGGTGTGTCTCATCACGATATCATGTCGAAGGCGAGCCGCGCAATGGTCACAGAATTGGTAGCCATGATGCTCTCCGCAACTTAATTTCACCTAGCGACTGCAACGCTGATAGTCATGGCGCCCGGAAGCTTGATCGTCGGGATACGACTGCCGGCCTCTAAGGTCCAAAACCAGTGCCGACTTGAGAGTGTCACCAAGCCTGATTTCGGCCTGCGCGGGTGTCGCAATACCTATTGCTCAAGTTGGCTTTACTGAGGTAGGAGTATGCACGACCAAGGCTCGTGCGGGCGGCCATATTCACCTCTCCATCATTTTTAGTCGCCAGCACCAAACAGCATTTGCGCGGTGATCGGGAGGCTTGGGACCTTGGTCTAATAATCTTGAATGTCAGAGAGACTAAGGAAGACTTATTATTGCCGCAAAATGTATGAGGCTATCCTAAGTTGGCACTTTGGATGATGATAGTTCTGTTTCCGCTATACTAGCGCTGAGAGATCATTGAACGACAGATTTTACAGCTTTGAACATAAAATGATGTGGCTAGAGGACACGGCAAAACAAAATGTTGACTAGGCTCCTCTTACGATTGATCTGTTCGTCGGTCTATGCCATCTTACTGCCTTAACCAATATGTGTACATCAAAGCGAGCAGGCAATGCTAATTCACCAAAGTTTAATAATGGATCGGGGGGTCTTTTACATGTTCGCAATTTCACCTGACGGCGTTTTGGAAGTTGATAGGGTTTGCTATCTCAAGATCATCCCCCGGGAAAATTCCTAACCTACCTTGCTGGATATATGACGCTTGGGCAGGTGCAGTAAGAGAGAGTAAGGTAAATATACCTGCCGGATCTCTTTTTGGCCGGGAGTATACACAGCCCAGCCAGCACCTTCCCGCAGCTGCGTCCCTCCTTCCACTGAGACGGCTGTCCACGTGACGTACCAGCCTATGACTTACCACAGGCACTAGGTACTTAAGGGGTCTAATCTTCGTTCCTGTCACCAACACAGCAGAGCCCGTCTAGTTCGGCGAGGTCAGGTCAAGCTGTGCGCGAGGTGGGTGAGTGGTTAAATGAACAAATACTCCTATGAATTCAGAGTCCGGGTTGACTGAGGGGCGCGCTGGTCAAGTGAATCAAGTCCGGGCAGGGTTGTGAATTATAAAGTAAGTGATCACCAGCCCTGGTTTCGATTGTTTTTCTGTTGTAATTTTGGCAATCCTCGCCTGAACCTGTACGTGAATTACGAGCTAACCTACTGTACCTTACCTTAGTATTGGCGGATAAGATAAGTCATGCATGGGTATTTGTACTTATTTGTCTAGCCACTGTCTACTGTGTTCCGCTCTCTTGATTGAATCCGTTCACGATCACAGTTCAGCGAAGAATTGGCAGTTATTGCATCTGGAACTCGCTTGTTCCGCCTTTTTGTCTTGAGGACGTCAGCCCACACCGAAATCAATGCCATTGCGACAAGGCCCGACGAACAGACTTACGAGGTTTTCGACCAAATACATTTGAAGGCTTGGGGCACTCCATCCTCCATATTTGGAGAAGATTGCAGCACAATGGTTGTCTAGGTGACCCAAACATATGCCCCAAGACTCTGCAAAATGGCCTCGATGCAGAACAAGAAAAATGGCAAGATCGATAACCATTTGAACCTGATATTTGAACCTGATCTTGGAGGCAAGCAACAGGCTAACAGTTACTAGTACATCACACTTGACTAAAGTTCTCTTCAATTCTCCGACAGATCTCTGATGCATTTATCTGCAATCATGCCTTGTCCTCATTCAACGTCATCGTGGCGATTCCCAAACTATCAGTTGATCGGACTACTCGCCGGATGGAGTTCAATTACCACCAGGCTACTAGCGAACTTCCCACGATCTCTCAGCCTAGGCAAACGGAGGTTCGGAAAGTCAACACAGGCGGTGAACCAAGGCAGGCGGATGGACGATGGGGGGCATCCGTACCGAGTCCGAACCCTAAGTCGCGGTGGTGCTCGGGCTTGGCGGGGTTCGGGGCTGTTGACCGTCCTTGGACCAACCGGCAAATGGAGCAACTGGGGACGTCACAGCTTGAAATTCCCCGCGGGTTATGGAGCCGTTGCGGGCTATTTGCGGGGGGCGGGGAGGAGCATTAGCTTCAGAGCCTCCAGTAGCTCGACGTAGGCGTTGCAGGCCGTTCCACTTAGCGCTAGGATTACTGCCGGGAGTCGGAAGAGCTACCCCAAAGCTCTCCGAATATGGCAAATATCGCCGGCCCAAACCCAACAAAAACATGTTCAAACCCAATCGGGGCCTGCTGATTATCATGCAGAGCAACCAAAGCAAGACATTCCGACCGCACGACTCGTCTGATTTATACATCACTGCGGAGAGCTCACCGAGCTCTAGAAAGCTCAATTCATTCAATTGACTGATCATCCCGCTCGACTGCTTCCTCCAGTTCTCGTCTCTTCAACTCACGATTTCTCCCTTTCACTCGCGACAGTACCAGGCTCAAACCAACAAACCACTAGCACAACAGAGGTACGGATACAAGCAGTCAAAATGGCCAAGCCAATTGTTCTCCAGCTCGGCGACGACATCAAGTGGAACCATGACCTCTACAAGGAATTCACCTCAAAGTTCGACATCCGCCGGTCATACAGCATGCCGCGCGCCGAGTTCATCCAAGCACTAAAGGACAAGAGGTTTGGCGACTTCTTCGCCATCTACCGCCCCTTCTGGAACACGGGAGGCGAGATGGGCAACTGGGACAAGGAACTGATCTCGCTTCTGCCCTCTTCATGCAAGGTGTACGCCAGCGCCGGCGCCGGTTTTGACTGGGTTGACACAGAGACTCTCGCGAGCCGAGGTTGGTACCCCCACGACACCAGCGCCAGAAGAAGACCATGTTGAGGGTTCTTGACGCCTCAATTGAACCATGAGCCAGAAGCTGACCAGAGTTCTACTGCACAGGCATCATCTACTGCAACGCCGCCGCAGCATGCACAGAATCCGTCGCCGACGGCGCAATCTGGCTCATCCTCTCCACCTTCCGCCTCTTCTCCTGGTCCTCCGCCGCCGCCCGCTCAGGCGACCCAGACCAATTCGTCGACGCCAACAAGAACCTCGGCGCCGTCTCGCGCAACCCCAACGGCTTCAGCCTGGGCATCATCGGCTTCGGCAAGATTGGCCGCCGCATCGCCGAAAAGGCTCACAAGTCCTTTGACATGAAGATCCTCTACAACGACGTCGTCCGCATGCCCGCCGATCTCGAAAAGTCTTCCAATGCGACGTACATCAAGGACATGAACGAGCTGCTCGCCACGGCCGACTGCGTGTTGACGGCGACGCCTTTTGCGGGCAAGACGCTCCTGGACGCTGCTGCGATTGCCAAGATGAAGAAGGGCGCCAAGCTCATTAACATTGCGCGTGGAAAGCTCATTGAGGAGGAGCCGCTTGTTGCCGCGCTCAAGAGCGGACACCTCTCGGCTGTTGGCTTGGACGTGCACTACAATGAACCTCATGTGAACAAGGAGCTAATCAAGATGAGGAACGTCGAGGTTCTGTCGCACAACGCCGGTGCTTCTCTGGATGCCCACATGGGTTTCGAGAGGCTTGGTATGGAGAACATTCTCTCCTTTGCGAGCACCGGCAAGGCCGTCACGCCTGTCAATGCCCATCTGATCAACAAGAGCCGTCTGTAACGAGGATACGAAATTATGAAAATGGGGCCTGGATTGTAGTATAACCACGGAAAACCAAGGAGTTACATATTGGATTAATTGAACAAAATGAAGTTCTGTTTCAAAGTCTTTGGACCACGGCATCGTACTTTTGCTCGGTTGTATATGAACGGTGATGAAGTATCGCTCACATGTCATCGATCGAACTGGACTGCTGTCCAAGGGTCCTAGCCAGTGATCATGAAAACAAAGTCTAAGATTGAGGAAAAGTCTCGTTCTGTTAACTTACACCAACTATCGATCTCCAGGAAGATCGTTACCTATCTTCAAAGCATCACATCAGCATTATCTATCCCTACGCCATATGCTTCTTCATCTCCTCCACAATCGGTCCCTCACCCCACCTCAACTTCGCCAACCACCCCCCATCAACCAACACATCCGTCCCGTTAACATACCGACACCCCGCAACAAACCCAACCGCATCCGCAACCTCTTCCACCGTCGCAGCCCTCTTGAAAGGATGCGCCTTCATCATCTCCCGTATCCCCGCCCCGCTCGACCCCTCCATCTCCGCCGCCAGCATCTTGGTCTCCGTCATCCCCGGCGCGACAAGATTCACCCGCACACCTCTCCCCGCGTACGCCTCAGACGCAGCAGCCGCCTGAACGCGTAGACTATTCGCCTTTTTCGCGATGCAGTACGCCGTGGCGCTGACGCCCGCGATAAGCTCATGGAGTTCCTTGTTCTCGAGGAGGGATGTCCGCGGCGCGGTCGCGAGGTGTCGTTCGAGGTCCGGCGAGAGGGGCGGGATCATGTGCTGGCCCATACTTCCCACGCAAACGACCGACGAGCCGTACGGCATCTCGACCTCTTTCCCAAACACTTCAATCACGTTTGCCGTGCCGACAACATCAACAGCGAGAATCATCTCTGCCGATCCCATCGTTGGGCTGAGTGCCGAGGTCAAGACGACCGTCTCGATAGCCCCGCCCAGGGACGAGGCCGTTTTCGCGAGGGAGGCGACGGATTCGTAGGATGTCACGTCGACTTGCCGCGCCGTGACTTTGTGGCCTGCTTGTTTGAGGGACTCGGCGCCGGCGGAGACGGTGGACGGGGAGCGACTCGCGAAGAGGATGTGGTGGCCTGCGCCGAGGCGATGGGCTGTTGCTAAGCCGATCCCGCCGCCGCCGATAATGACTATGATTGGGAGTGCGTCCAATGCCATGGCTATGGTGTTTTAATTGGGTATCGGTCTTCTTGCTAGATATGAAAACCCGAGAGAGCTGTGTAGATCCTCTCACATGGAAGCTTTGTAGAAGAGACACCTCGCGGAGCTATGGCCATTTAAACAGGCCCGCTTCAGGACTCGGAAGCTCGGTCTCGCTTTAAACGCGAAGGAGGTAAGATGCCCAACTCGTCGAAGTTTGTCTGAAGCTTTTGCTTGGGATATCAGACGAGTTTACCCAGCGGCGCGTCTATTTCCCAAATGAAGACAAGGGAAGCTTCCATTGACCAATAACATCTGGCAATGAGTGTCATCACCCAAACTTTAGGTTGAACTCTCAGAGTGTGAGGAGAGATGTATTACGCACACACCATATCTCATCTGTCCTCCTCTGCTGTCAGAACCATGTCTTTGGGCTGGGAATCTGCTCTCTTTACTACAGCGAGCCTGTGGACAAGGTTCCGTGGTAGAAAGGGGCTTTCAAGCATTTTGAAGCAGAATAAGCTCGCTGTTCACGTTTATTGTGATTGTGCCTGGTATCGTTCATGCTTCCCGGGCTTGAATGACTTTTCGGATTCGGCTATACGGACTTCTGGTCCGTATATCCGCGGACAAGCTGACATCAACTACACTTTGGATATGCAGTATCTACAACGAGGAATGTGGTAGTGTTGGCAATAACACGACCAAACATTGACTGGGAGGAAATCACGTGTAGTAGTTTCACCTGGTGGATAAAATGGTCTTGGAAAAAGTGGTCGTTTCTGCTCAAGATGTTATTCTTAGCTCGATAGCTGTATCATCTCGATAGAATGACGTATGGAGGTATCTTCATCTCTCCTCAAAGTTCAACCTTCTTCATCATGTCTGGTAACGATCTCGGCATGCCCCAGACCTAATTAAAAGCCTGCGCCTTCATTGTGTCACCAATGCACTGATCCTGAGTGGCAGCACCCATTTGCATGAGAGCTTCACCGATACAGCCCGGTCGAATCTTCTCAGGCACATCACCTTCAAAGAGCCACGCGGCGCCACGCTTCTTGGCCGAATCATCCGGTTTGCCATTGTCGTACCATGTGAACTTGTGGTTCTTGAACGTGCCACCAGCCTTGCTGGAACAGGCCTCGACAACCTTGCGCAAAATCTCGCCATTGTCGCCAATCTTCTCGTCCTTGAAGCCCGAGCCGCGGATGAAGACGGCACGCTCGCCCTTGACCTTCATGTCCCAGAAGTAGCATGTGTTCCAGACCCAGCCCTGTTGGATGCTGTCGATGGTGTCAGGGTGGAGAGAAACGCCAGGGCTGGCATAGACGGGGTCCTGGTACTCCTTTGGCAGGGGAAGGCGGGTGCGACAGTCGGTGTAGACGAAGAGGACGGTGCCATCAGGGATCATGGCATTGGGATCCTTGGCATTGCCGCTGTTCTTGATCGACCAGGGCTGGGAATCGCAGATGTTGGGCGTGTTGTTCGGTCCCTTCTCCGCACGGCATAGATAGTAGTCGTAAATGGCGTTCGGGTATGTCTCAGCTGAAGAGTAGGTGCCGCTAAAGAGCAGAGTCGTTAGCTTTTTGACTTCATTGATGACATTCTTGAGGTGACTGCTAGATTGATTATTCTAAGACTCACCACATGACCTTCTTGACCGGGACGAAGGTGAAGTATCCGCACTCGCCCTTTAACAAGGTGACTGAGAAGGAGCGTCCAGTAGCAGTGCTCGTAGTCCAGCTCCAACTTCCAGAAGCACCTAGCTTCCACATCTTTCCGATTTTGCCAGTGAGAGAAGCCGACCATCCGACGGAGGTTGAGTCAGTCGAAGACAAGCTGCATCCGACGGGATGATGACATTCAGACATGGGGTATGGGCTCTCCTGCGCCCATTCGAAATAGGTGCCTAGGCGATGAAAATGTTAGCAGCTAGCCGGCTCAGGAGTCTTGATTCAGCAGGGTAATTCAACTCACGGTATTGACAGAGAGCGCCACAGGCATTGTCCTCCGGCCAACCAGCTCGATCCCAACCAATGCAAGTTCCGGGATACTTGTAGGTGTCGGGATGGAACTTGATGGGAGCCGGGCAGTCCTTCTCGTAGTACTGGTAGTAGAGAACGGCGGGGTGCGAGTGATCCTCACAAGGAGTCACACCGTTGCGCTTGATGAGGCTGGAGATGTTGCCGGTAGCCAGGAACTCGTCACGATCCTCAGGGCGGATGGTCCAGAGGGGAGGGTTCTCGGGGTCCCAGTTGAAGTCGACGGAAGTGACGCGCTTAACGTGCTTCTCGGCAGTAACAATACCAAAGAGGAGGACCGAAATGAGCAAGAAGATGCTCATCATGACCGTTTTGCCGTTGGGTGGGGCAGATGCAAGACCAAAGGCTACCATCTTTGCCGACGGACCAGGATAGTGAACTTGTGTGAAGGAGATTGTCGAATTGACGAAACGGAGGCAGCGATATTGCTGCGAAGAATGAGAAAGGCAAGATAAAGTAAAGGGGATTCTATGCCAGCGTTTATTGAGAAACGCAAGGAAGAAATTTCCAGGTTTGAGGTGCCTGGAAAGAAAGAAAGAAAAGGGGGGATTGTGCGTAGGAAAGGGAGAGGAAATCTTGGTGAGAACCTCAAAGAATGGAAGGCATTGTGGAAAGAGTCGGAGCAGGTAAGTAAGCCAAAAGCTAAGCGAGGCGGTCAATTTGGCTACGCAGAATATTAGAAGGAAGGAGTGAGGTCAGAAACTACAAATGCTCCTTCCTACAGCAGCAGCAACCGCACAGAATATGTCCCTGATTCTTTCTCTTGACATGGCGAATACGACTATTAATGATCTAGAATAGCTATAGACGCACCCTATCAACGCGTGAGGTAATTCACGTAATATCTCATAGTACAGCTCACTTCTTAAACATGAACCGGAGCAGCGTTATTTGCAGGGAGTCATCAGATACATTATTTATTGGTTGCGTAACCAAGGCATCTAGCTGCGCTCTTTACCCTCTGCCCCAAGGTATCTTAGGTGAGCTCGAAGACATAATTTTTGCTTTCGGTTTTGGCAAATGCAACCTAAGTGCTTAAGATCCGACATCTGTGACAGTCTAGTCGCATGCAATAGATGATTTTGCAGAAGAAGAATGTCCGAATTCACCCATGTGCCATGGCAACAATACAAATGTAACAACGCCAGGTTACATGATTCAAGGCAGATTCCTGACAGTATCTTTGAGCATCTATTCCACTATCTACAACTTCATTCACTTGGACTTGTCAATAGGAGTAGTGCTGCTTCAGTACAAAGACCTTTCCACCAAGCTCGATATCTCGAGTTGCACTGAGTCGGTCTTGGCGTATGTTTGTGGCTTGCGCCACGCTCACATAAAGTAGGTATATCGAATATTTGCCCAGACTCATAAAGGAAGGTCTTTCTGCCCTACCTTCCAGCAGGGGCAATCTGCTGGCGATGGACCTTTAGTCCCCTTGAAGCTAAGTAGGTATCTAAGGTAATCTAAGACCGAAGACAAAGCTCAAACCGAAAGTAGAGATCATTCTCAAGATTATACCGCGTTATGCGAGACTGCGAATAGCTTTTAGAGGCATAATCTGGGAAGGCACTGGCTGGACCGCACCTTTCACAAGTGATGCCAACCATCACGTAAACCCCTTCGCCCGTATCCCTCCAATCCCAAAACACAACAACCACAAGCCCATATATACCCCCTTCCTTCCTTTCCAGTCACCAGCCAGCAGGCGCCCCTCGGGGGTCAGGTCAAAACTGGCTGGGTGGTGGAGTGGTTGAAGTCCACCAACAGCCTAATCGGTGAAGGCTCAGAGGTCCCGTGTTCGAGTCCCAGCATGAGCACCAGAGATGTAGTCCCCATTCGCCACCGGGGGGGGTGAACTCTTTTGACTTTTTGGCTATACTCTTCAAGGGTGCTATGCTTCTATACCCTGCGGCCCAACACGGTTGAGGAGTTAAGAGGTAGGAGAGTAGGCACTCGTTCCGCTCAAGTCGACCGTCGTGGTTGTATGTGTTCACCGAGAAAAGTTGCCCAGTCTGCAAGCACTGACATTGATGGCAAGTCGGTGCCAAGGATGTTTGCTTGACGTGTTTGTATTTGTGTTTTATATAAGTATTGATGAGCCAACAATGGCCTTGCTCATGTTCAAGGCTACTGAGCCTGTTCTCTCCCATCTACAGTTGACCTCCCATGGTCTACCCATATCATGAGGACACGGCCTCTCCCAATGCTAACATGTACCCACTCGTCCATTACTTTTACAGAGGTGAAGAACACCCGAGGCATCCAAGCAGAAAGCCTTCCACGTCATGTCATATTCGGCGTTGAATCAATCCAAAATCATGCTAATCATACGCTCAGAGGAATGCGTTAGGGCGGCCACCGCCACCGCCACCGCCAGGCTGTGACCGATGAGGAGGCGGCGTGGGTGCTTCAGACTCAAAGTCCGTATCACGTCCATCACTTCCTCTCCTAGGCGGCGTTGTGATACCGCGTCCGTATCTCGAGGCCTGCGGTGGGCTCGGGCTCGAGTCCACATGCCTCAACTTGTCGTCATTGAACGAGTCCTCCTCATCATCCTCATCATCATAGCGTTGCAAGGCAGGCATTGAGCGAGAGTCTCCCTTTACAAGACCAAGTCGCTCCTCTTCAGTAGCGTTCTTGACTTGCGGACTAGAGTAACCCCGTGAACCAAGGCCATAGCGGCTGGTTGGTCGAAGCTGCGGATGTTGCTGCTGGTGATCGTCCTCGTGATGCGGTGAATCAGCGTGATGTCTCTTGAAGACGTTGGAGAAGGAGAACTGTCTCTTCGCTGAATGTGGTGGTGGAGTAGGTGCGAGATGCGAGCTGGTGCCGCTAAAGCCACTACCTTGCGACACAGCACGCTGGTCATACACGCCGGCAGCACCGGCATATTCCAAGCCGCCATGTTCACCGGCTGGAAGCCCGTACACATGCTCTCTGCTCTTGCCGTAGTACGGTGCCTGGTCATCGTCTGATTTGATCGTGGAAACGGCGATTTCTGTCAAGGGAACTGGATGCATTGGGCTCTGAACCCTTGGATCCTGAAACTGGGGCTGGTTCGGCGACAGAACACTACGTGCTCGCTCTCGGATGGTACCTGCAATGCTTGAAAGCATACCGGGAGAAGAAGGCCGATCGTGCTCTGCAAGCTCCTCTTCAGTGGGGAAATGAGACATGCCGAGAGGCGGATGGGCCTGGGGAGAAGCGGGAGGGATGACAGTCGGTGTGTGAGGGATACCGGCTTGCGAGAGAGGATAAGGCGATCGTATCGTTCCTCTGGTGCTTCGACTTCCAACCGTCATAGTTCTCCTCCTTCGAATCCCGTCCCATTCGTAAACGGGCTGGCCATCTTCGCTCACAGGCTCCAGCGACTCTCGCATCTTCTCTTCCTGTAATCGCTTGAACTCGGCCTCTTCCATCTTCTGTCTGGCGGAGGAGAAGCGACGCACGATCGCAGCAGCTCCACGGATAGCGTCTGCCTTGGGCTCGGTCTCGGGTTGTTCTTGTTCGGCGATGGTGTGAATCTGGTTAAGATCTCCGGCAAAGACTGCGGTGTCGGGCACATCCTTGGCTGACTTGGAAAGTTGGAGTAGCACAACACCGGCGCAGATGGTCAAGAAGCCGTTGACCACAGTAATAATAGCAGTGGGAGTGCCCTTGAAACCTCTAAAGAGCACTGCCGAAGTAATGATGGTCGTGCTGGTGAAGTAAACGTAGTATGTTGGTGTGACGAGGGCGGCGTTAAAAAGATTCAATGCTTTCTGTGATTTCAATCAGCCTTGCGTTTCTCAGCCATGTGGAAACAGATGTCTCACGTTCAAGTAAATGATCTCTGTCAGCAAAGTGCCAATGACGAAGACCAGCAGAACATAGGTGAACCATTTGTTGAACTGAGCCTCGCCGCCTGCTTGGGCCACGATTGCCGCACCCAAACCCTGCGTTGCTACAACACTCAAACCTCCAACCCAACTGCAGATGGAGATATAGACCAGCATATTCTTGTTGCCCCATCTCGGCCCTGCGTACCACGCGGTAATGGCGCTGCCGACGAGGATGACGCCGGCATAGGACAGGAACCCGGGCTGAATGACATAGCTTTGCATCTGTTGAATGTTGGCAACGGCAGAATTCTCGGGCGCATTCATGACAATGACGACAGAGCCAACAATGCAGAGGAAACATGCGACTTTGCCCACCATACTCAAGCGTTCCTTGAGGAAGATGGCGGATAGAATGGCAGTCAGAACAACGGATAAGGCGCCTAGCGGGGTAACGAGGATGGCGTCGGTGAAGGCATATGCGACGAAGTTGCAGATCTCGCCGAAAATCATCAGGGTCATGCCAGTCCACCACCAGGCGTTCTTGAGGTAGCCATAGCCCTCACCGGGAGCTTCATTGTATTTCTCGTTGGCCTTCAAAAGACCGACTTTCTTGATGACGAAGGAGGTCCCGATAAATGCGCCGGAGGCTACAGCCAAGGAAATACCAATGGCCTTGTATGAGGCAGGTCTCGTGGCAGTATCCCCAGTTGAACCGCCCATCCGTGCGTATATCTCATGCGCCGCCGTCAATATTTCCGCGGATTGCTCCATTGCGGCGGTTGGGTACGCCGGCGACTTGGTCGCCGGGGTGATGTATCAAAGAGAGGGACCCTTGTTATTCGACTTTCGTGATCATTCGCTTAACCTAGTTACGATATGAAAGATCGGGGGTAGACGTGTTGACGAAAATGTTCAGGGCGTTAGGCATAGAAACCCTCAATCGGTAGAAGTAACGTAGAGACTCGACTTGTGTGCTTCGACGTTTCGCGGATTATCAGCTATCGGGAACAGGCGAATGTCAACAATCTTGGCGAAGCTTGGGCGGGTCGGACAGTCGTCTTGTGGACAGGGTAGTGTGCAATAGTAGGATCGGAGAAGAGGAATTTGAGGTCGATAGTGGTGGAGGGGTCGAACAGCAGCTTTTTCCCCCCTTGCGGGATGTGAGAATAGACGTTCGCTGGGAGGCTGTGTCGAGGAATTGGGTCCGAGTAGGATGGAGTCGCCGCAGTGTGCGGAGGTAGCGCAGTGTGCGTACGGATAGTTGGTGGTGTGCTGCTCGTATTGACGGCGGCAGTCTGTCTTCGCCACACCAGCTTGCGTCAGCGCGCTTGCACGCAGAGCTGAGCTTAGATGAGATGCGAAGAAGTTGGTTTCGTTTCGTCAAGTTCGTAAAGGGTCGTTAACAGAAGGTATCCGTATCTAGGAAATAGGACTTTGTAGGACGTATGCAGGAAGCAGACGCTAGGTGCGGGACGAACAGCGGATGGGCGTCAGGTCTTGGTCGCCCGGGGATTCGAAGGCGTAGGTAGGTATCTGCAGAGGGGACCAGAGGTTCGTGGGAGAAAGCAGACGAACGGCGGGAGCTTGGCTGATAAGAGAATGCAAAATGGGAGGGGGGGGGGGGGGGGGGGGGGAGGGGGGGGTGGGGGGGGGGGGGGGGGGGGGGGGGGGGGGGGGGGGGGGGGGGGGGGAGGGGGGGGGGGGGGGGGGGGGGGAGGGGGGAGGGGGGGGGGGGGGGGGGGGGGGGGGGGGGGGGGGGGGGCAGGAAGAGTGCTTGACCCCGGTCAAGAAGCTGAACAAGAAGTGCAGTGCAGCATGAACATGGGAGAAGCAGAAACAAGTGAATTGCGCAGGCTGGGGATACTCAAAATGGGAAAGCGAAGTTGGTATCCAAGAGTCAGGGCCGAGGAGAGAGAGAAAGAAAAAAAGAGAGAAAAGGACCAGGCTGGAACTGGTTGGTTGACTTTGGTGGACTGGGATTTGGGGAGGAAGGAACACGACGGACCAGGCGATGCTGGTGACCTGGTCTAGAACCCCCCCGGTGCCTTCCATGAGTTGAGTCATCTGATTGGATCAGAAGACTCGTGTGGGTGGATAGCAGTGGGGGAAGCTGCGTTTACGTAGTAGCGCTTTCCCGCAGCGCGGGACGCACCCTGTTCTTGGAAAGAGCCACTGGTGGGGCCCAGGGGCTTTGCCTGCCACCTCTTGCGCACCTCATTGCAGTTCAACTTTCTTACCTTCCACGGAGACCAGTGTCGCGAATGTCTTTCTTTGAATCCCACCTTTGAGGGTATCTGGAACAGCTTGTTTGAAGCCCAATCGCACGCCAGTGACCTGTGAAAATGGCGGTCCGTCATGGGCCTGTTGGACGGTCAGAGACGTTGCAGTCGGGAGATGCTGCTGTATCATGTACGAGAAAAAGGTAAAATTAAAAACAGAACAACCCGCACACGAATACATGAGGCTAATGAGGTCACAGTTGGCGCCCCATGGCATTCTGATTCGCCTTTCTTCATCGGCCAGACCCTTGATATCGGACTCCGAGAGTGACAGTTGGCCGGTTGTCACTTCAACACCCACTCCTTCCGCCATGTTTCGAATCGTTGCATGGAATTTATCAAGCAAGACTTCAAAGAGTGTCGATACATCGCGAGCAGACAGTATATCGTCCATCAGCCTCATTTCGTGCGCATAGACAAGACGGGTGCACGTTGACGACACCCACCGAGCGCATTAAGCAACGACATGCACACCATCTTTGGACCATCCCATCCCATCCCAACACCAGTCCGTCCATTGCGTCTACTGTCTGCGAACACGCACCTTGTTCCGCACCAACACCTCCCACACCACCGCCTTACCAGGCTTCAACCCAGTCGCACCCGAACAGTTCAAGCTGGGAAAAAGTTGGGACTCCAAGCACCCGGCAAGTACAATCCCTATAGTCAAGTTTACCACACCACCTCATAGTAGTGGATAGCGCCGGGAAGAAGCTTAGCGGCTGTCATACACCATACTCGTGCTCGATATGGTCGCTGACCGTTGTGTCTTGCTGTTTCGCAAAATTTCTCGAAAACACTCGACGCAATGACCGGACGGAAGCGCCAACGGCAGCCCGTCTTCCACGTCGCCCCGTGTTCTCCTGCAACGCATGTTTTGCGCAAGTCACTCAGCGCTGTCATCTCTTTGGCTCCCGCCCGCAAGCCTATTCGTCTGACACAATGCGACACGTCAACCGCTTTCGAGTCTGTCTCCGAGATCAGCCAGCGTGCCAACCTATCCCCATTCGAGACCCAGTGTGCCAGTAATTCCTATTCCAATGCCTGCGCCTATGTGCTGGGAAACCAAGGTCACATCGAAGCGTCCACCATCCTGGCCGGTGATGTCAAGACCAGCCAGGAATATGGCCCTCTGCAACGGCTGATAGGCCCGTGTCACCCCAACGTGCGACAACCACCCTAGATTTGGGTGATTGATGGCCTGGGTCGGTCGCTCTCGCCCTAGCAACGGAATCAAGCTCAATCTCTGTTCAGTCAACAAAATCCGGCACCACGCGACTCGCCTATGTTGACCAGTAGACAACGCAACGCCAAGATTCCAGACAATCAATATCCAGCAGTCTAGACTGGCGGTAGCTCATACAAAGTCATCAGCATTCAGATGCGCCGGAGCAGCGAGCTAGCTCCAGAAGAGCAGCCCACTTTGGCCTACGAACAATGACAGCAGTGTTTGGGGCCAGGTCAGGTCTGGGATGATCGTAGTGCGGCGGTGGTGCTGCGTGCAGCGCTTTTCCATGGCTGAATTGCTTCAGCTGCCCGATTGACCCCACCATGCAACATGCCCGCCCGAGGTGAACCCGACCTGATGCTCTGGGGCGCAGGCTGATACGGATAAGGTACGTATCTTCGCTCCGCCTGGCTAGTCAAGCTGACAATCCCTCGCCAGCTATTCATGATTGGCCGCCGGCTGCGCCCCTCCACCTTCTGCTTCCCCTCCAAGTCCAACTCTCCAACGTCCCAAGGGCGACATCCAGTACAGATACAAGCACACAATCAATTCCTTCTCAAGATGCATCGCACGAGTCAAATCCCAGCCGCACGCGCCATGTGTTGGCCAAGCCCACACGGCCGATTCGAGGGACCCTTTCACCTGCGCAAAGTGTATCACATTCTCTGTTTCCCTGCATCACAAGCAATGCCTGATAAACGGGTCTCTTACCGTACAGGATAGAGATCCTGCCCACTTGGAGGCGACGTCCAACGGTGGCAAGGCGCGCACATTTTGCAACGGATACGGACAAGGACGTCCCATTAAGGGTTCACTCACTCCCATTGTGTCCCTGGCATCTTCTTCTTCTTTTTTTTTTTTTTTTTTTTTTTTTTTTTTACTTGAATGAGCCCCTACGGACGCAATAAGTTGGATTAGCGATCACTTCAGTGGCATGCTCCAACTTTGCCGGCTTTGGCACCTAGCGACGGCCTTCAAAAAGAAATAGGCAGGCGATTATTCCTGTAAGAGGCATTCAGGCGGTCCGCACTGAGGCCACAACTCAGCTTCGAATCCTGACAAGCCCATCTGTCAAGCTTGTGAGCACTGAGCACTGACTCGGCGCCATCAACAATCTGAATGATACCCCAAAAATGCATGTCTCCGGGCCTCAGTCAGCGTTGAGGTGGGGACTCTTACGCAGTACCACGCTGACTTGAAGGATTGCGGGTTTCCTGCATTCCTCCCCGCGCCTTACGCATGCTTGGCTTCGTGTTGCTGGGACCCTAGCTGAGCCGCACCCGCGTTCTTGGCCGAGACATCCAAGTGCTTCGCTCTCCAGAATGCGTCGAGCCACCTATCTGTCGGAGACCTCATCAATGCCTGCTGTCACGCAAACCCGATCCGGCCTTTCTTACATGTCAGCATGTCGAAGTCTCGGCCCCGCGTATGGATTTCTCGCCTGGGCATCGAACATCTTGAGGAGTTTGATTACCAACGGATGCCGTTTCGTGCACAGAACGGATCTGCAGAAACGAAGCAACATCCGATCGAGGCTTGTGCGGGGCCCAGGATCGGCCCTCCACGGCTGTTGCCCGCGGTGGGTTTGTCCTCTGGTGCCTCCGATTTTCTTTCGGCGTTTCGACCGACCCCAGCAGGGCAAGAAACGTTCTTCGCTCTTCTGTATGTTGATACTGGACATTATCGGAAAGATCATTGTCAATTACCATTATAGATATTAAGGTAAGTAGTAATATGTTCAAGCATATGGACGCTATACGGTCAAGTATCGTACTCCTAACTCCCATTGCAGAAATCGAGCGGTTGTTCACCCTTTTCACACTGCGACTCTGAAAGTCTTAGCAACGCTCGGAACGCCAGCTTCGTTGACAGCAAACAACATCCAGTAGCCAGGGAGTGCGATACCGGCGTCTCCGGGAACAGTCACCGTGTACTGATTATCGTTGGCCTGAGCCTCCAGAGGGCAACGTCTCTGGTCGGTGTTGACCGCGTGTGTCGAAGTGCCCATCCTAATCATCGAGAAGGTGTAGTTCGCCGCCTCATCCATAGTAATGGTGAAGCTGTCGCCGGCCTTACACTCTGAGATTGAGAGGTCGGAAACGACGGGGCGCTTGGCAAGAGTTTGCCCGTCCTGGAGCCAAGTTAGCATTGTGGTTCACCGTGCAGGCCAACGTTTCTTACAGCTTCAAAGAGATAGGGCGGCGAGAAGAACTGTCCGTCAAAGTGGTTGGCGGTACATCCGTTGCAAAGACCACCGCCGCCAGAGAAGATGGTCGCGTCAGGCATAAGAAGGGCTACCGAGTGGTAGTTACGGGGGGTGGTGTGTGACTTGAGCTAGGAGGAAGTCAGCACTGTAGCCTTGCAAGCTTTCGCAATGAACTGACCGTAGTGAACTTCTTGGTAGCAGGATCCCACATTTCGGGGAAAAGTTGCGGGTTGGCGTCCGAGAAGAGTACAGTACGGCTCTGACCACCAACAATGAAGACCTTGCCATCGGGAAGGACGACACCATTGGCGAATCCGCGGTTGTACTTGGCGCTCTCAAGCTTCTCAATCTCTACAGCACCGCCAGCCTCACCAATGGTAAGGACATGGGCGTTGGCGGTTGACGCAACGCCGTCGTAGCGAGGAGCACCTCCTACGGTGAGAATCTTTCCGGCAACAGCGCTGAGAGTTTTTGTCAGCGACCAGACTTGGCGATGGGGGGATGGACAACACTTACTCGTACATGACATTGACACCGCACATGGCATCGCTGTCACTTCCTCGGTTTCCAGCACCCTTGACGCTTCCCGAGTCCCGCGTGGAGTACCAGTTCATCGCCTTGCTAGGGCCGGCCTGGAACACATATCCATCCTTCCACGCGTGAAGCCACGCGTGGCTATCGGCCCGGAAAGAGCCACGGGTATCTTGGGTCAACATGGGCGTCACCGAGCACCCATCGAGCTTCTTCCACTCCTTGCTTACAGTGTCGTAAATTTCACCGTGCTTCCCTTGAGCACCACCACGGAACGAGCCACCGATGGTGAAGACCTTGTTGTCAGAAGTAAGCGTGCTCGACTGGTATCCACGAGGGATCTTCAGGTCGCCAGTGGCAGCCCAAGAATTAGTTTCTTCATCAAAGATACTCGTCTTGGCGGCAGTGGAGCCTCCGCTAACAATGATGTGGCCATCAGCGTCCATGGAGATACCCGGGCAAAACATATCATGCTGGGTGTTTTCGACTAGGGCCTCAGTGACTTCCTTGCTGGACGGGTTGTAAATCGACGTATACGTTTTTCCGTTGCCGGGGAAGGTCCAGCGGTTTCTGGTCGTCGTTAGTTCGTCCACCTTGATCAACAAATCAAACTTTCGGCAGTTACGCAAAGGAAAACATAAAACTAACCTCCAACCAGAAGACCACGCCAGCAACTCCCCGGTCTTGGGCAACAAAGCCACGGCAACCGGTACCACCGGGAACTTGACCAGGGCGCTCCATTGTCCGATGCTCTGGAACTGGGAAAAGTCAAGCTGGTACAAGTTGTAATACCCGGCCGCCCCCGTCCCACCGCCGCAGAATGCGCCCTTGTCGCCCGCGCACGCCGTCTTACAAAAGCTGCTTCCACTGTTGCCGCGATCGCTCGGCACGTCGCCGCAGAAACAATCCCGCCCGGCGCCGCCGAGACCAAAGTACTTGCTTTGGTACAGCCCGCAGTGGTCCTGGCACATTTGCACCGTCATTTGCACAGAGCGAAGCTTGGGGTACTCGACCAAGGGGTCGCCGCGCGCGGGCATGCGCTGGCACCCAATGTGCTGGGCCTTGGATGGGGACGCCGCGGCCGTCATCATCGTCTCCGGGCCGTAGACGTTGACGTAGTTGACGCCGCCGCAGAAAGCGCCGTCGTCGCCGCGGCAAGCGGTGTTGCACTGGCTCAGCGGGGCCACCTGGGTGTTTGCGCGCAGGGCGTTGCCACAGATGCAGTCGGTGCCGCGGGAGAGGCCGTACATTTTGGACTTGAACTGGGAGCAGTACGTGCTGCAGGTCGACGGGCTCATCTTGTCGGAGCGGGTGCCCTGCGAGGTGGAGACGTCAGTGGTGCCGGCCTGGTCTGTTGCAATGAGGGCGGTGCCGCGGGTGCGTTCTTGGTAGCAACCCATGTGGACTTGGCCCGAGGGCGCGGGCTCTTCGGCGGGCATTTGATAGACGTTGAGGGTGTTGTCTGCGTCTTGTGCTGATACGAAGAGGGGGAGGAGAAGTGCCGCGAGGGACACTGCTCTCGGTGGGAGTTGCATTGTGAATGAGTGTAGATGATACTAGGAAATAACGAATGACTTGGTCCTAATGGATGACGAATTAGAAAAAAATGGTCTGAGAAGAAATGGAGCTCCTGCTCAGAGTTGCCTGAGTAGGTAGGATGAGAGAGTGATCAGCCACTACATGGGATGTTTGAACGCTTCATATACAAGTTGGACCTACTTAACACCTAGATAATCACGATATCCTCGCGTCGACCGACCTGAACTACCTTTAGGACTCTAAAACAGAACATTAACCTGATTGGCCGCTCACAAAAACCCACAGCGCTGCCGCCGTCGACGGGCACACACAGACATCAGGCTGTGTTCGACATGGGACGGTCGTCGGTCGAGCACCACCTCATTCCCCGTTCTCCGCTTACTACTTCGGGATAGACTGTAAGAGTGACGGTTCTACCATAAGCAAAATCATGAGCGAGTGCCCCAGAGCTGGTGTCCTACGTTGGGAACGGCGAAACTACTTGGCTTTGCTCAGGCAGGCCAGTTTTGGCAAAGCAGAGACGCTGACGATGGTTGATTTGGGTTTAGGTCGCCTGCCAAGAGTTGAAGTGTCATAGCGGGGTCTGGCCTCACTATCCAGTCGAGTTAGACTGACCTTGAGTTTTAAGAAGACAGAAGTTTTGTGGCTGGACTACAATTATCCTTGTCAAGGCTATTTT